GGTATTTTGAGAGATTAAAATAATTTGATGTTGATTGATATGATGGAATTGCATAATATCGATACGAATGAAGCAAATGACAAAATCTGAGTGCATAAGTATAGATACCAAGATAAAAAAAATAATGATGCATTACGTGCGATTTCAGTGTGCTCTTTTCCGCACTTTTCCATCACGCCAGTTTTGTATGCTATGTTCACACGATGCGGAAAAATAATAGTAAATACGTTAAAGTAGTTCAAAAAATTGTCATGAAATTGTAAATATTAATTGTATTATAAAATATTAATTAAATACTACAACAGTGATAATTGTTTTTACAATTTGAAAAATTATATTTTATTTTAATAAGCAAATTATTAACATGAAGTTAATAGTTTTTAAATTATATTCACGCTGGATACATCTTTGACGCATCATGTGAACATAGCACACAAAACTTGCGTGACGGAATAGCGCTGATTGGTTGCTTTAATGATTTGCATTCTGTATTCCGCAGTTCTATTCCAGACCGTGTGATTTTATCCTAATAGACTCTTTTGTGCATAATGCACATAAGGTCAAAATCAAATTACGCATTGAAAATTAAGATTGAAAATTGAAGATTGAAATTTCACCAATGAATGACAAAGGAATTTTAACTCCTACAGTTTTGATTGGTCAGATTTCAATCTTTCAATCTTTAATCTTCAATGCATAATCTGATTTCGACCTAAAGAAGCCATTTCATGCTGACGCTCGATGTTCATTTTCAGCGTTTTAAAATAAGTTACGTGATCAAAATTGACGCTTAATATTCGTCAACTTCTATCACATGACTTATTTGACGTCGAAAATGAGCGTCGAGCGTCGGCATGAAAAGGCACCTTTATGCATTAGCCCGGATTCTCATACGGACAACTAGTTTGGCACAGAGCATTGATTGGTGAAAAGTCGGTTGTGGTAATAAAATTTACCTCTATCATCCGTTTTTCACCAATCAGCGTTCGATGTTAAAGCGCTGTTGCCCATATAAGGATCTGAGCTTATACAAGAGTTTACATTCCCCTTTAAGTCCGATGTTCACGATGCTAGAAATCGGACAGAGAAAAAATGAACAAATCACATTTGAACAATTTATGATCAGATGATCATTACGATTAGTCAATTCTTTCTTCATCCGAGGTCTCGGACCGATTTCTAGTATCGTGGAAAAAAGACTTTAACAGCATAAACCTCATAAAATGCATTTCTGTCAAAGTCATTTATCGACACAGCTCTCTTCGTGACCGATCGAAATTCACGGTAAATGAAATTCGAATTTAAAAGACATCCGTCGTTCGAGGCGGCGCTATCAGAAAAGGATTCTCTTTGATTCGTGATTGGGGTTGAGGGCCGTTGTCAGCGTATCCCACTGCGCCATCGCATCTCACACAATCTCACATCGCGCGATTTGTCAATTGGCGAACATGGCGGGACTGGACAAAGGACGCGTTCGTACGCAGGGCAAGCGGAGGGACTAGGAGGGACGCCATATTCATTTGTCAACGGACGTCAAGGTGCTCTCGGCTCTCGTGCGAGAGGAATCAGGAACGAGCAGCCGCTTGCCGCCCGTCGCCGGATAGAAGTTGGAAGTCTGAGGATATCGAGGACCTTCGCCGGTTTGAAAGTAGAAGATTCTCGTCTCATCTCGTTTGGTCCGTTTAGTCTCATCATGGAGAGCGACGCCGCTTCCGAGTTACGAAAGCGCAAACGCGAGGAATACGAGATGCAGCTGTTCGGCTTCCATTCTCGAGTCGTATACGCGACTAGTAAGTCGCCGTCTGCATTTTACGTTTCGATGTGCAACGCTTTTTCAGATCGCACTTTTCGACGAACGCTGGATGGACAGGAATTCCGGCGGGGGCACCGACCGTTAGGCGTTACGGCGAGTCCCGCGTCCGCGTCAAAATCTCGTTGCCACTGGACGGGTGTACTCTGGTTTCATGTGGCATTCGATCATGACTAGAGTCACACTCGTCCAGCGACCGGGATGCTTTCGACGGATCTTTCGCTTTTTTTTGCGTGGATGGAACGCGAACGCAAAATCTTGCTTTTATAAATTATGTAGATCGACGAAGATGCTTTGTCGGTGAAAAGCGTCGCTTCCCGATAAACGCGTCCTTTATTTCACCAATTCTTTTTAGTCTTTAATTTACATAATATGCTTGTACAATTTTAATTTTTTATTTTTTCTGCTTTTGTGAATCATCAAATCGTATTATACAATTGTAATTGCTGTATAATTCTTTACATTTGAAAAATTTACTGAAAGAAGAGAAGCAAAATGTCAATCCTTAATCCTACTTGAGAAAAAAGATTGAAATTTTTTTTTAATTTGATAATAGCTTTGGTACAAATCTAATTTCAGATTATTATTTTTGTTCACTTTATGCGAATAAGAATACTATTGCGAGCATTCTTGTATGATCATTAATCTAATTTATATTTCTAATTTATGAAAAATTATGCATGACTACTCATGGTAATCTTGTTACTTTCTCTTTGGTCTGTTATAGTCGAGAATATTGTGATAGAAAGGATACAGTCTAGGAGCAGAAAGTTGTGTGAAACGTTGGAAAAAATGTGTAAGTCAGATGATTTGGCCATGCTAAAAGCAAACGAGGAAAACCTTGTAAAGGCGTACCATGCAGCTTCTGTACCTCATTTGAAAAACATAGAGGTAATTATTTTTGAACTAAATCTATATCCACTTATAATTAATTACATTATGCCTATTTTTTTATCTAAAATATCTGTTAAAACTTTATAAAAATTATACGTATGACATTAATCGCTTATTTTATTCTGGTCAGAATATTGTGAGAAAATTCGTTGCTGTACCCGACAATGTTCTGGCGAACGAGGATAAACTTCAAGAGATACAATACACAGAAGCGGAATTTGAGAGTATACGTGGAAAACTGGAAGAATTCCAGCAGAGAGCAAGACGAGTATATATCATGATTTTAATCATCACTAAAAAGAATATCTTCGCTATTTTCGCTATATGTAAATGTCGCGGCATTTAAGCATTATATAACTCTTACGTTTCTTTCAGGCGGCTGTGTTGAACGCGACATTGAAGGAGGAATTACAGCTCATAGAACAATTTTCGATCTGTGCAGATAATACCGATAGGCTGAGTCATATAATTGAAAGCGGCATTGCATGCCCAGATATCAGTGACAAAATTCATGAATTAGTCAATTATTATGAACAATTCAGGATGTACCTCGGTGATCGCAAACCTGTATCGCAAAAGTCACTCTACAATATGAAAGATGATACCAAATATATAGACTGCGATATGGATGCCATATAATTGTATTTACATACAGAAAAGAAGAAATTCCTTTTTGTAATATTACTATGTACCTTTTTGAAATTATTAATGTGTAAATATGTAAATAAATGCACTCTGCAAATATTTTTTGTACATGCATTATATAAATTGTATAATTTAAAAATTGATTAAATATATTTGAAACGTTAAATGCTAGTGGTTTTTATTTTCCTCGGTTTTTTCCTCTATCTCTTTCAAGTAATTTATATTCTATGAAATAATTACATATGTATGTGATGAATTTTACAAAAAAAAATTATGTAAATATAATTACATTTAAAAAAAATTGACTTTTAATTAATATTAACTTCACAATGCAAAATTTTCTATATATTTTATGATAAAATCTCACATCGAAATAATAAAGAGAAACTTTTAATCTGTTATCGACTGGAATTTATCACTTACCATCAGTTACTAATTCTCTAGCAACTACTGACATCTGCTTCTTTTGTAAAAAGAAACACAAAAAAGAAATAGAAATTATAAACGATTTTTCAACATCTTTTTTTAACTTACAAAGTTACAATCCCTGGTGTTTATATTTTAAATATTTAAACTTCGTTTTTAATTTTTGACTTGACTTACGTTACGTTAACTTCCATAATGAATTCGATTTAATATTAAGTCATTACAGAAAAAACCCCAAATTATATATCTCGTAAACTTGTTGAAATAAATTTACATTTCTACTTATTAATCTTTTCAATAAAAAAGCTTCACATTTTTCATAGAAAAAAGTATATGATAAAAGCTAAACGCGCGATTTAATATTTCAATAATAAAGTGGGGTATAAACTCGGAATAGTCGTTTTGTCTTATTTCTCGCCCAAGAACTCTTCTGAGAATCCTCCCTTCTCACTTTGTTTATACATGGAACAAGAGAGAATTATAAAATTCTAAGTATTAGTCTCCTAATCGCCTTCCATCATCTCGATAGTTTTAATTTCTTATCAAAAACAAGAAAAAAAAATATGTATAGTCAATGTTGGCAATATTCCTTCTATTCCTTAGCTTTATTGTGTGTGATAAACTTATAATCTATATATATTATATAATATATATATTTAATATATATATCTATCTATATAATATATATATCTATATCTATATATATATTTTTCATACAGTCTGATCTTGAATATTCAAGTTACATTGTAAACTATGTTTTCGAGCGCAAAATAATATCACTGTAAGAATGTAAATTAATTGCGAATTTAAATGATGCTAATAATATAAAAATATTAAAGAATGATTTAATATAATTACCAATTCAGGCTTTTCTTATAACGCGTTTCTCGCCGAGTTACAAATAAACGTAAAATGCAAGTGAAGCTTTTTTTGAAACTTCTTCAAAGAGAAATTTTCAAACAGCTTTCCTTAGAAGGAAGATATATAGAAGTTCTAAAAGAAGTTTAAAAAAGCAAACATATAACCACCGGAATTTCTGGGACTCTAAATAAAACGGCGAGTCTCTACTTACCGAGAAAAACATTCGGCGTATTGCGCCGCACTTTTCCTGGAATCGGGCCCTAAATTCACCTCGCCCCACTTCTTCTACGCGCCTCCGATAAACTCCGATCCTTCTGGAAATCAGTTCGTTACATGCAGCTCGCGTGATTGTATGTCGATGACGATGAGTGACCACGACGATGCGGATCTCGCCGGTGAGTGCCAGCGCACCATGCGACTCCTGGAGATGCAGCGTCGCACGCATTATGACCTCGTGCAGGTACAGACATTCACCGGTTACCTCTCCTATTTTTCACTTCCAACGTAGCAGATAGAAAAACTTGTAGTTTTTCCATCAGCGTTAGAAAAATTAAAATAATGACTCGAGAATATTGGTGGGAGATCACCGGTGATTTGAAATGAATTTTCTTATAATTCATGTCTTGTATTGCCTTTCACCTATCCTAACATATCTATAAGATTAAGATACACTCGTCAAACATAGAGAATAATTTTTTTATCGCAAAGAGAAATTGAAATAATAACTTCTCGGCAAACAAGCTGACTTATCGTCAGATAAGTCAAACAATTAGTTATCGTCATTTTTATGTCAAAATTACGTTACTTGTTTGCTGGATTGAAAAAATGTTTACGAGTAATTTATGAAAATTTAACTTATAATTTTTTGTCTTAATTTTCATTTATATTTTCAATGTCATCAGACATAACGTTATATTTTCATTGTGAAAAGAAGTTGAGAAATATTGAAGTAACGATTTGAGAACGTCGGCAAGAGCGATTTATATGAAAGCACAATAAGTAATGTATGGGTCTTTCTCTAACATTTGTCTTACCAATCTACTTAAAAAATAATGAACTTAGATAGATTACGTTTTTCGCTAATAAAAAGCTAATAAGAGGAGTTAACGAATGTATTTATTAAAAAAATCCGATTTTCTCTTACCCATATATGTCCACTCATTAGTTATAACGAAGTTATCATCCTTCTGTTTTAATTTCTAGTTATCCTAATCAAGTTACATAATTAATATGTTTACGTACACGCATCTAACTCTCCTTTCTCCTATTATTCGTGCGTTCGGGGAGACGCTATAATTAGCGCCACTTCTGTCATTCTATATCTTCGTTGTTCATTAGACGTAAAGCAAGCAAGGATACAATGCGCTAATAACGTCTCCCCGAATGCACCTTATCCCAACTAAAACTATTAGGTGTTGGAATTAATTCGTAGCGTTTTTTAATGAAAGAATGTTATTTATTTCACATGAGCATTAAAAAATACATTAATGAAAGTACTTCCCATCACTTGTAAAACGCTACGAATTAATTCCAACACCTAATACAAAAAAAATTTCGCCTTTTTTACAGGAGAATGGCCAGCGACGGTTGACGGCACCAGAAGTAGCGCGAGGTGATCGGCAACGTGGTAAGGGTGCGGAGGTGTTCCTGGGTCGTCTGCCGCGCGATTGTTACGAGGACGAGCTGATGCCGTTGCTGGAGCAGGTGGGCCGGCTTCTGGAGTTGCGATTGATGCTCGATTTTTCCGGGTCCACGCGCGGCTACGCATTTGCGTTGTTCGAGGATTCGCGGGTTGCCCGGATAGCGTGCGAGCGTCTCGACGGTTACGAGATTCGGCCGGGTCATCGCATCGGCGTGGTCAAGTCCATGGACAACTGTCGACTCTTCTTCGGCGGCGTGCCCAAGACTAAGACCAAGCCTGAATTCATGGAAGAGTTGACCAAGATACTGGACGGCATCACGGACATCTATGTTTACCCGAGTGCTCAAGATCGCAACCTAAATCGTGGTTTCATCTTCGTCGAATTTAAAGATCATCGGGCAGCCGCGATGGCTAGGCGCAAGCTTATACCCGGTAAAGTGATGTTGTGGGATCATGAGATCGCGGTGGATTGGGCGGATCCGGAGCCGGGCGATCCGATTGACGAAGATATCATGGAAACGGTAAACTTTTTATCAATCTGCTTATATATATATACAGGGTTGGCCATATTCGATGGAAAGATCTGGCAAACACTGTAACTTTTGACAGAGATGTTAGATCGAATAACGACGTTTCCCATGATTGAAAAAAAAAACATCTTTCCGTCGAATATGGCCAACCCTGTATATATATATATATTTGTATTGTCTTTTTTTAATATTAATTCAATATAACAAGTTTTTCTTTATTTCATGACTCAATCAGTATTTTATTAATTTATTGCTAAATTTAATGATACATGCAGCGTAACGTGATATTTTAACAAATAATCGATACAAAAGAAAAATATAAAATGTATAATTACGCAAAATAAAATACAACAAAAAACGTATTTTACTAGATATGTAACATTATCGAAACGGAGATAAATAAATTAATTGGAGCACTTGTACAGATTGTGTTGTGTGTAATATGTATAAATATATTTCGAATTGAGAAAAATTAAAAAATAACTAGCTTTTACACGTTTGATAGTTTATTAATAACTTTATTATACTCAGACAAAAATTTAAAAACGACTAAGATATTTTTTTCAAATATTATAAAAAATATAGAATATAAATAGTGATGTTATGTTCACATTATTCGCTTTAATTGAAGTCGACATTGATTGAATCGTAAATTTATAAATATCCTCAAAAATGTTTTATACATATATAATTATATTATAATATAAAATATGTTCATATATGGATATATTTCATATATTGTATAATTTTATATAATGTTATATAACTATAAAACCTTTTTTCCCCGGATTCCCTTATAAAAAAAAAGAAATATCTCTCACGTTTAATTTCCGGAGAATGTATGTATTTGATAAAAAAACAAAGCAATTTCTGAAAAAATTCTGTAAAAAGAACGATATAAAATAAATTTACCACAACGAAATCATATCTCACTGTGTGTGTGTGTGTGTTTTATATACACAATGCATGTAACAAGACTATATATAGTACATTAGTCAATATCATACACTATGACAAATAGGTAACAGCTCTGTTCGTAAGGAACCTCGCCCTTGATATGTCACAACAGAAGGTGAGAGAGATTCTCTACAGGTACACGAACGTGCCCATATTGAAGCTAAAGAAGATCAATCACTTCGCTTTCGTTCACTATGAGAATCGCGAAGCCGCAAAGACTGTAATGAACATAATGGAAAGTGAGTATATATCAGCAGTGTAACTAAAGCAAAATAATGAAAATATAAATGATTTGGAATGCAAAGGAATAAAAATAACGATTTCAGCAAAATTTACCAAATTTTAAAGAATCCGTAGAAAATTGACGTGAAATTAATTTTATTAATAAAATTATTTTCTGATCATATTTGTTTCTGAAATTAATATATACATCATGTTTTAAAAATTAATGTTACTAATATTTTTTTCAACTAAATACAGAAAGAGTTGTCTTTGCCCAAAAAATTTTATTTTATTTCAGGTTTATGAAAAACAGATTCGCATTTAGTTCTCTGTATGAATAATTTACTTTTTAGGACCGGATAGCATCGTTGAAAAGCAGGGTTGGGAAATCCGTTGGGCGAAACCTATTGGAGCGTCCAAGATCCTGGAAAGAGCACGATATATTCGTGAAGCGGTAACCAACTCGAGAGTCCAAAAAACCGAAAAGCCGCATTCAAAAGAACGAAAGAAGCGCTCCAGCAAAACGCTCACGAAAACGCACGAAGATAAGAGCGTATACCTGGCACAGATGAAGACCTTGCAAAACTTCGTCAAGGAGAAATTCGATGCTACGTGCACTTTTGATTGCATACAAATACTGGATGCATCCGGATATATTGGCAGAGTAAACGTTTTAATAAATTTAACTTCTTATCTTTTCTTCATTCATTTATGCTTAATGATTTACTGCTTTCTTTTGTGTCACTATGTTTTAGATAATTGTTCGTAAAGATGAATTTATAATGTGCGAATTTCAAGGGGAGCCAGTGGCATCGAAACATAAAGCCATGAGCGAGGCATCTATTAAAGTGTACCAATATTTGACCAGTATGTTCCCGAATAATGGTACGTATAACATTTTGGCTTGTGTTATATTAAAAGCTTTTGATTATTTCATTCTCTATTTGCGCCGCGTTGAATCAAAGGCGATTTTGACAAAATGCTCCTACACGGATTAATTCAGCTCCAACAACGAAAAACATGCGTAATATTTACAAAATTTCGATTTTCAATTGTAATCGACAAGTACCACGAAATCTCGTTCATGCTTTGTTTGCCTCGAAAAATATTTGCAATACACAATGCGTCACGTTTTAATGATATTTTGCGCGTATTTTTATAGCGTCGCAGTTATTCGAACAACATTATATTGTGTCAGGAATGGACATTAATCCTGTGATTGGTACTCCGATTGTTTGGCATCCAGTTCAAAATTAGATTAGTTACTATTGCTTTGACATTTGTTTTCAGTTTTACTTTTTAATTGTTATATATACACGCGAAAGCTACTGACGCATCGCAAAAAGAGATCGATAACTCTACTTCATCTCTATTTTAATTCAAATTTTTTAATGACTGTCAAATGTTGATAGTAATCAATGAAGAATATTTCAGTTCGACATTTGATTCTAAGTTACAATTCCGAGACAGTGTATTTTGGAATATCGATGCTCAAGATATATTTAACTTTATTGAATGTCTAAGATAGTTTTAACTTTAAATTATTAAAGTTTATAAAATTACAATGTTGATGAAATTTTAATCTATACAGATGTTATCTATGATGTACAAATGGCCACTTATTTTAATGATAACAATTATCGAAGTTCTTAATTCAAAAATCAATTTTAAATAACAGTTCTTACAATTAAATAATGACATTTTCAAAAAATGTCTAAGACATATTGAAAGAAAAATGATTAAAGTTTGTGCAAAATTACAATATATATTTGATGATTTATAATCTATAATGAAAATTTATGAGTATTTACACTGATGGCCATTTAAAAAAATTTATCTTAAAATTTATTATTTTAAAAAGTTTACAATGTAATGAATTTATTTCTGAATGTATTTATTCGTTTTTGATTATTCAAAAAGTCTTATACTTACAAATTTCATACACTGTAAGGGATTCTGTAACTTTTTATTTTATTAAAAATTACTTCATTTTATCTAAATTCAAATTCTTAATATATATGTTTATTACACGTTATTAAAAAATATTTTATTTAAATATCAATGACCAAATACACGAGAGCACACAATACAAGATATTTTATTAAAATCTTAAAATTAATTTAACGTACCATTAATATGAATATAACAAATAGATCTTTCCACTCACAGAATCTTCTTCAATACAATTAAATAAACCTATCTATTTCACTTGATGATATTGCAAATCGAGAAATAATTTTTCCACGTCAATTGATGATTATTGATGGTGAATCAAATCAATTGCTAAATCGATGTCCATAGGTAAAAATTGTAAAACCCAACTATGGACATTGATTTAGAAATTGACTTCATCAATAATCATCAATTGACATGGAAAAATTATTTCTCGATTTGCAATATTGTCAAGCGGAATAGATAAATTTATTTAATTATATAGAAGAAGTCTCTGTGAATCGAAAGATCTATTTGTTATACTCATATTAATGGTATGTTAAATTAATTTTAAGATTTTAATAAAACATCTTGTATTGCTCGTATATTTGATCGTTGATATTTGAATTGTTTTGTTGTGAAAACTTCGAGCGTTATTTATTTTTATTATTTATATTATATTTTATTTAGTACATTTTTATGTATATGTAACAAAAAAATTAATTTCTATGTTTAATTTAAATAAGATATCAGAACAATTATTTTAGTTGAAAGGCACGCACAGCGTGTTACATCGAATTTGTGATCATATGTTACATTTAATTCATAATATCTTCACGCATAATTTTTATTGCATAGCGAAAAAATTAATTTAATAAAATTACTATTTTTGTACGAATTTATAATCTTATTTTTTTTCCTTATTTTATTAATATGGAGAAGAAATATTTGTCATATTTTTTTAAAATACAAATCTTAAATATATATAAAACGCTATACATTAAAGCATATGATTACGCGTTTTTCTTTTTATTTATTTATTTTTTAAGGATATATACTAATCACTACCACGTAGCGATTAAGAGTTCTCGCAATTATAGAGTACACAGTTATAAATTTATGGTAAAAGTGCCTCAAGATTTATCTTTATCCTAAAAAAGAAATCCTAAGAAGACGAAGACATAGCTCGTTTATCATTTCAATGAGAAAGGACTGAGCGCTCTTTGCATTGAGGGCAGAATCGTGGAGTAATCCTCCAAGATCCTTCGTACCGTTTCGTAATCGGTGTTGCCGGTGGTATTGCTCGGTCTCATACAACGTACTAATCGACTGGTTTGATTGCTGCATTCGACCATGCTACTTCTCTCCTGCACGCTATAGGTCTCGTACGTGAACACGAGCAGCTTCTCCACGACGCAGTCAAGCACCTTGTCACTCGGCAACTCGCCGCGGCCGCTCTCGATGCAATCCTTGATCATGACGTTCATCCAGTTCCAATCCTCCCACATGTCGAGTATTTCAACCTTTTGGTTCTCCAACTGCCACGTCAAACGAGCGCGATACCTGAAAACGCGTTATACATGTTAGTAAATAAAAAAAAAATCATTTATTTTATCTAGAGGTTTTTTTACTTATATTATTAAAAAAAAAGAATGATGAACTGCTTTTATTCAAATAATTGAAGTTTACAGATTAATGGAAAGAAAAATTTCATTATCAAAGTTAATAGTAAAATAGCTTAATCAGTTTCTTTGTTAATGTTTTATCGATATTTCGATTTAACTTACGCCCATATCCAAGGATTCTTGCTGAATTTTACTTTCTTCAGATTACCCAGATTAGCGAACATGTTGTAATCGATAGAGTTAAGTTGATTATAGTCGAAGTAAAAGTTTTGTAAATTATTTAGCATTGGAAAGATCATGTAGTCGACCCACTGAATGACGTTGAATGACAAATCCAGAGTCTGCAGGGAATACATGTTCACAAACCAATCTTTCGACACGTACGTCAGTTTATTGCCCCAAAGCATTAATTTCTTCAATTTCGTAAGGCCTATGAATGCTTGAGGATCGCACGTTTGTATGCCCGATTCGTGCAGGTCTAAGGTCACCAGAGTCGCTCCAAATCTCGCAAAACTATGTCTTTAGCAGAATGAAGTGAAAAAAATCACAAATTAAAAATGTCGAAGACACGAGAAATTCGCGTCGGCGCAAAAGCTCGTGTAATATATTCGATGAAAAATGAATATTCAAAACAGAATTATTCAAAATAAACACGAATATTCTGAAATATATATACAAATTTTAAAAGGAAATACTGAATATCCGTAAAATAAATGAAAAGAGATAGAGGACAAATTCTCAAAAAATAAATATCGGAGAAAAATATACAAAATACACAATAAAATAAAATCATATCGTTCTATATCACGATCAAAAATCGATTATATCATAATATCAATTCAATCAATTTTTTCTTACAATCTTCGAACAATTTCTTTTCTTTTCTTACCCGGGTATGTTAGGAATATTTGAATCAAAAATCGTAATGATCATCGTGTTGGTCCATGCTTTGTCCAAGTACTGTCGCAGCGTTGTTAATTCAGTGCATCGAAAGCCAACATTCGTTTGGTTATACACGACCTTCACGCATGGTGACAATAAAACTGCTTGGAAAAACGTGTAAAGAAGATAAATTATTAACAAACGCTTCATCGTCGTGCATTCGTTCGCGATGAAGTTATTGAATTAACTAAGTCCTCGAGAGAGGATGCGAAACGATGGATAAAACATATACAAATGTGGGCAGCACATCCTCATGGCTTCTTCTTCCTGTCGATGATAACGCAAATCAGCATGTATATATTTAATTGAATTGAAATTTCTACGCGTTTATTTTTATCGGCAGAAATTCATCGGGACATCCTGAAAGAGAAAAGTCGCGCTCGCGGATGATAGTAAAAACAACATTTATTGTCATACATATATACATGTCACAATTTTTTAAATACGGCCATTCCTAGAGACGAATAAATTTAATTCAGTCAATTTCGAAAGACCAACGAATTCCGAAATTCAGTCGGTTCTTAATATGGACCCCTCATTAATTATTCTGTCGATGTAGACGCTTATCTATTAACCGCGCGATAATTACACGAATCAATTGGAACGACTTTTATAAGTCTTATGCTTAATAATGTCTACTATTTGAAAATATGTATAAAATGATCTTTTTTCGAAACAAAAAATTGCTGCATGCCAATTTATCGTCTTATATTCGATAAAAAAATGAATATTAGCAAATACTAATATCGTCTAAAATGTATTTTGTGTATAATGGCAGTTATAAGCGTGCGTTTTTAACAGCGTAATCTGCACCTACTTCTCAGATATCTTTTCGTGATTTCATTTACTTTTTAGACGTAACTACATTTATTGTCATAAAAATGTCTTATTATTTACAGCAAAATATCGATTCTCTCGATATCTCCATCACATTTTTCTAACACCTAAACGAAAATATGGCAAAAAAATTATTTGAATATCAATTACACGTAATTCCACTCTACGTGTCTTTCATCAATCGGACAAACGACAAATAATCCGATTTCGTTGCAATTGAACGATCTCGTCACGAAGTGTCTTGCTCTTCGGTTCAATCATGAATTAAAATCACCAGGACGATCATGATGAAACCGACGTGACATAATCGCGAATCACGTAATGATTTCACGCCGTTCTGGACGTCCAATCGTGTGGGCGCCGAATGCGCTGGAGCTGGTGCTGGCGGCGGAAATGCGGAGATTCTCGACTTGTTCGCGATATTCGGTGATGAGCTAGACAAATTCCGCCTGGACATCGGCGTGGTGTGGCCCACATTCTTCAGGCCCACATTCGTCAGATCCGACT